ATAACAGGTTTAAAATGATATATTTATTAAAAGAAGCAAGTCTTCCATGTGTTCCCCTTGTATTCACTCTCTCATACTGCACACCTACTCTTCCTGCGTGATACTGCAGGCTGCAGTCTCACAGCAGTTTCTTGCTATAACTCTTGCTTCGAAGAAGTGCAACAATAGAGACCAATTACCCTCTGTCTCCACTCTTATTGCAATATGCCTGAGGGGGGAAAAAAGTGAGTGCACCCCCTCCCCCCACTACCTTTTCAATTTCAAATCCTAACCCTGTTGGTAATGCCATTTGTGGATTTGAACTCCCTGGCTTTGTGTGCAGTATTATCTGGAGATTCACCTGGTACTGATCCAATGAACCAACGCAACCTTACAAAGCTGAAGGGAAGAGTGTAGAGTTCTCTTTGTAATAAATCATATGCCATGAAAAAGGATTTCTTTAACTCCTTTCCTCCATTATTCTCCATATCTCACCTTGTGGAAATGGTTCTGTTAGTGAGAGACTTAGACTCACATGGTAGGAAAAACGAACAGGGGAGGGAGAACTGAAGTGAAAGGAAGGCAGAGTTCCTGGAGGTTTCTGTAACTTGGAGATTCCAGAAAGAAGAGGCACAACTTGAAAGAATAGGAAGCAGCCCTAAAAATAAACCCAGCATAGGCCTTGGTACTAAACCTTCCTCAGTTATAGAAAGGACAACTATGTTTTCATTAAAGCAGCTGCATAAGAAATCCTTAAAACCAGTGATGAGTTAAGCCCCCAGAGGCAAGGAGGTTCTGTCCAGATAGTTGCCCAGCAGGCTGAATGCTCATCTGAACATCTTTGGTTTTACTGACTTGAGCTGCTAACCTCTTGAGATCTGGCTGTCTCCCAAGTAGGGAGGGATGAATACTGCAAAATGTTTCAGTTTCCATTTCAATTTTGAAACTCATTTGCTTTGACTGAATTTGCACTGTTTATATAAATTTATAAACACTGTAATAAATTTATCTGGAAAACAGAAAACAGAAATTTTAGAAAAAGTCTGGAGAACATTTGTGAAACGCAAATTCTAATTCAACAAGTATAACCACAGAACCTGATTTAAATGTACTTTCAATGACAAAGCAGAAATGTAGTATGTGGTCTGTATATCTAGCAAACCCTAAGAAGCATGATCCAAAATTCAAACAATTGTTAACGGCTTACATATTTTTAATTACATACATGTCTTTTTTTGTGGTGGCAATGACAATGTGACCCACAACCCAGGTTTTCACAGTATGAATGAAGACCACAATCAGGTAATAGTAGCAGTTTGCTACTTTGCTTGCTGTAGAAAGCTCACCTACTTCTGATTATACTTTTTTCTAACCTATGAGAGTCTGTGGCAGCATGTCATTCTTATCTGGCTCCATGTCAATATTAGCTGCCACATTTATACGAGCATTCATGGGCATGACCATTAAACCCCATGGAATGGGGTATTCTCCAGTGCCCTTACTCTGGAAATGTTCACCTGCTCCAACCCTTACTAAATTTGAAGCTGCTTTTGTCTTCCCTTGCACCTCTTGAAGTCTGCAACGTCTTCTGTTTTGCTCTCCTCCATATCCCCTTTCAAAGATCATCCTTAAACAGTCCTTTGATATAATTTAGGGGTTTTTCCCCTTGTTAATTTTGTACTGAACATATTAGTTTATTTAGTGCACAAAATAAACCTAATCTGTATAGGGCAGATTTGGAGGCCCTTTCTAAATCTGGGAACATTTATAATCACATAAGGAAGCATACTGAATCCAATGACAACGCTTGCAGTCTGAGTAAGAGATCTGGTCTTAAATATTGAAAGATCCTGCGTTATATTGCTGTTTCCCATTGTAAAGCTGCCGTTTCCATTTCTAATTTGCCTGCCCAGTGCTTGAAGCAGCAGGTAAACAGTTAAGCAATGGAAGTAGCAAGCAATGTGTACTAGAAATGAGCCGGTTTAAGATTGGTAGGGGGAATTAAAAAGCAGTGCGAGATGCAATTTTTAAGCTATCCTGTTCAAGTTCTTGCATTGGAGGTATTAGCCACAAGGGAGATCACATCATCTGGGAGCAAGAGAATATAATGAATGCAGGATCTGTAATAGGCATGTGGGAGACTCTTACCGTATGTTTTGGTCATGTCCTGATATACGTGAGCTTTGGGAGACAGTTCTACATGTAATAGAGTCAATAATCAAATCTGAAGTACCAAGGAACACAACTTGATGTTTCCTTAGAGAGACCACAAGTTTGCAACAGATGAATAAAGAGAGAATGTGGTAGATACAAATTTGTCTTTAGGAAAAAAGGAAAGAAAAAAGACTTAAAAACGGGGGAAAAACCTACATTTTACACTGTTCCCAGACTGGAAAGAAATAGTAATGCCTACATCAGAAATTTAATTAATTGTTGTTACATTGATAAAGATGTGATATACCACATCAAAGACTAGCTAAATGATATTTGGAAATTAATTTGGGTTCCTATTAAATAGAGCTCAGAGGAGCTTCCCAAATGAATAACTTGTTTGTCAAGCATTGATTGCTTTTGTTTATAAAGTCTTCTCAAGTAAAGACAACTATTTGCAACTGTTCTTGTTGCTTGAAATGAACTATGAGATTCGTCACTACCCAGATATTCATGGCAAATTCAAATATTGAAAATCGCAATGCCTTAGTATCTTACAGAAATTAGATATTGCCTATTTCTGTTCCCTATAGGGACGACTTATATAAAGTTATCTAAAAAGCCCAAAACCCACATTTAATATTGACAATCCATGTTTGAATTTAAAGTTTGCTTTTGGTGCTCTGCAGCTTGGCCACTTCAATGAGCTTTGGAGATGAACATAATGGAATCAAAATATACTTGTTTTCTGTAAAGTTATTAGTTTTAAATATTCTTAAACCAAAATGTAAATGGGACACATTAACCATACAAGGGGATATGATTTCAGGTTCTGATCTCTTAAGAAAGTTATCCTGTAGAGTAAATGTGCTGTTTTCTTGGGAACTGTGCCAAGATACAGTAAGACTTATGATGATCACCACAGTTTCTGCGTTTGTTAAATGAAAAACTCATTCCTGAGTGATTCTGCTTTTATACTAGTTTTATCCCAGTGTTTTATCCCACCTAGGTCTCTGCAAGTACTTCTGATTTTATATTAATGTCTGTGAGTTCAAAAGAAAATAAGATTTAGTAGAACTGAGTAGAGAGAGTTTACATGAAGACAAAAAAAAAAGAGAGAGAGAAATCTTATATAATGTATTTGCTTTATAGTGGGATTGTGACAACTTTCAGAGTTGTCTGTGGAATTGTACCTGTTGGAGTGTCCAGAGAAGAAATCCATCTGTTCTCTAGACAAGCAGACAAGTGACCACCAAGACAAGGAGGTGGCTTTCTCCACCACAGCAAGCCATCTGGCTCGTCTGTACACCAAGTCAGCAGTGATGAAGTTGCAGAGCTGGCAGTCGGGTGTTTGAACTCTGACAGCTTGATGGTTGGGTTAAGGCCAAGGAGCAAGGCAGCTCCTGCCTGCTTAGCTTCCCATAAGAATTTTTACAGAAGAATGTCCCGTTAACTTTATATTTTTTGGTTCATAAGAAAATATTCATTCATCATTTTTAGAAATTAATTTAATCCTCTGGTTTCATCCCCTCACTTTTCTTAGCATTTCACCCCTCTGTCTTAGTTTTCATTTGAGTTTGATGTATGCAATCATTTGTTTCAGCTGTTAGAGAAGTGAGGCATTTTCCTTTCTTTTTGCCAATTAAACTTGTATTTTTTGGTCATCAGATTCTTAGAATTTTTGTCGAAGGATAGCGCTACTGGAGTAAATCTCTATTGTTTGCATAGGTGTGTTTAAAAGATTAAGGCTGAACAGACATTCGCATAATAGACCAGGGATCAATGAAAGCTCTTCTTCTCTCAAGAAGCTTTAATGCTTAGCAGTGAGGTTGATTTTTTTGTTCTTTTGTTTTAAATATAGAAGAAGTTGCATCTCTGCCTGGACTTTTATTATTTGTGTGGTCTTTCATAGAATTCCTGAACAAGATCTACCCAAGGTTCACTGGTCCCAAGCTCAGCTTGAGATGACAGAAGGCACTTTTCTCCCTGCTTATATCAGTGGCCACAGATTGTCTAAGTGATTTCTGCGGTAGGCAAGGGACATGATTTCCCCTTCTTATTTGTGCCACTTCCAGTTTTTAAATTTCTTCTATGTTCACTCTGCCAACAGCCCATTGAGTTTCAATAGGACTTCCCAATGAATGGGATATTATTCCCTGGGACTGGGAGCAGCAGAATCGAACTCAAGACAATCTACTGAGAGGGATATGAGTCAGAGCAGGAGGGAGAAGCCAAGGTGGCATACATGCTTCAACACCCACAAGATTTGATGGCCAACAAGCATTTTAACTTAGTGTCTTGTTTGGGTAACTTTTGTGTAGGCAATTGCAGGAGGGGAAGAGACTGAGGCCCTAGGTTGGTGGAACAGTTACATTCATGCTTTAAATCCTTTAAGCACATACTTAATGGCCATTGATTTCAATGCTTTAACAGCTTTGCTGAGTCAAGGCCTGACTGAGGGCAAAGTAAAGGCTTGGTGATGCAGTTTATGAATCATCCTCATAGCTATAGACCCCCAGCTAGAGCATTGAAAAGAAGGGAGCCTTGAAGGCCAAGCAGGCTCTTCCAGTGCCAGCGTGGCAAGCTGGCAAAAGGCAAAAGATAGACTGAGCATACGTGTTGTGGAGGGAAAGAAGGCTGAATGACCAAAGATGTTTCAGTTGGTACTCTGCTGTTCACGTTATTTCTAAAAGTGGCCATTGCTGCAGGCTTTCCTCATCCTCGGAGGAGCATTTGCTTTTGGTTTTTCCATGAGAATAATTTGTTTAAATACATAAGCTGCAGAATATAGCCCTAATTCTGCAGCTGAAGCCAGAAGAGGCTGCAACCCACATAAGTCCTTTGTGTGTGTTGTTTTTTTGTGTGTGCAGGTGCTCCCTGATGGGGTTTGATTTAAACCGGCACTGGGCAAATCCATCTCCTTGGGCTCATCCCACACTGTATGGAGTGAAACAGCTCATCATTGAGATGTACAACAATCCGGTGAGTGGGGAAAGGTGATGCCAGAACAGCCACTTGCTGAGGTACTGACTCTCTCCTGCTCTGGGGTTGTGCAAGATGCCAGTAATTCTGACGTGGCTTAATCCAGTGGCAAACCAAAATAAGAGAGAAGTAAGTAAAAACCACCCCCACTGCATGAGATCAGGGAACATTTGTGTCTTTTGTCACTGGAAGCATCAGAGTGGAAAGAGCAAGTGGAATGAAGTTCAGCTCAGATTAAATACGGAATAATTCTGAAAGCAGGGCCTAAATTCAGTCGAGCTGCTTTCGTGATGTCCTGAGCTGGATTCAAAACAGCAGGCCCCCCAAACTGAATTACTGAATGGCATTGATGTTTAATCCAGAGCTCCGGCAGGGGTTGCTATGTAGTGTGCAGAGCAGGAGGGGGATAATATTTGCAAATATTATATAAAAACACACACACGCTCTCTCATGCTCACTCAGAGAAGCAGAGGTGTTCTTGAAGGTGAAATTGTAGCTAATCAGAGGAGACGGATTGCAGAGAATATGGAGAAAAGGAGTGGGAGCGAGGCAGACAGCTATTGAATGTTTGACATCAAAGCGCAGAAGGATTATTGAACGTGGCACCGAAGAAAAACTGCTGAACGAAGATGGAGATGGGTAGGAAAAAATCACTACCAAAAAAATAAAAGGAGATTTTATAGATGATTATTTTTTCTGTATGGAATTCCTGGTATTTGTCCTTTCTTTTTACTTCCCATTACAGAGATGGCATTTTGATCTTTGATTCCCTTAAGTTTTGCTAATTTTTTTTTTTTTCTTTCTGTTAGTGTGAAAAGGGGCCTGGTTTGTCTTGCTAATAAAGAAAGAAGATTCTTACCCCTGGCTACATCATGTATAGGATAAAAGCTCCTTTAATTTAACTCCTGGTTCTCCCAGTACATCTTAATTGGACTTTTTATCTTCCAGCTAGTAGTAATACTTGTACAGAAGGGATTTTAGGCATAAGGAAGATAGGTTAATAGATAAGGTCCTTACATATGCAGTGGAATCCAATTCCATGGAAAATATTTTCTTAGGCTGCTAATTGTTTGGCACAGAATTTGTCTTTCTATTCTGTTTGTGCAGCACCTAGCATTGTGCCTGTGACCAAGGCTCCTAAGCCCTGCTGTATTAGAGTGATGATGATGGAAAGTAAAGAAAGGAGCTTTACATCCAGCCTGGTCTTTCCTCTCTTTCTTACCCCAAATAGCAAGACAATTTTCCTTCTAGATGATGGAGAGAACATGCAGGCTGCTTTGTCTGAGAAGAAAGTTTTTTTCCAAGAATAAAGAGGTCCTTAAACATTACAAGAAAGTTGGGTGTAGGGGAATGCTAGTAAAGCAACAAATCCTGGCACTATTAAAAGTCACTGTCAGTAAAATAAAGCTGTTCTTGGTGGGAGAAAAATTCTTTTCAGCTTTGTCCCATTTCTGGGAAGCTTTGAAAACCTGGTAGTTTCCAGCTGCCCTGTGTGTGAAGAATGAATTTATTTGCTGTGGTGGCTAAAATGAAAAATCAAAAGAAATGTTTGGTCAGAGTTGATCTGAAACGGAAATCTTTTTTTTCCTCCATCTCTCTGTTTCCCACCCCTCTACAGCGATCAACCTGAGATGAACCAGTTCCAGTCCATTTCCTTCTGAGGGACAGAAAAAGGAGCCTTTCAAACACAAATGCAACATTTCATTTTCAGGGTTATTTAATTTTCTTTTAAATACTATTTAGGAATCTTTTTATGGATTAAACTACCAGCAACAGCCACTTGCTGAGGTACTGACTCTCTCCTGCAACTTCAGAGTTTCATTTCTCAGTGAATTAGCTACTCACCAAAAGACCTTCTTGTCTGGTTTTATCATCCCCTAGTCAATACCAGTCTTTCTGACAGTTTTAGAGACCCTCAGCAATACAATGCAGTATAAGGGATTATTTTTTTCTTCAGGCAATACCAGATTCTTAGTCCCTCTGATCCAAGTAATATTTGTATGAACAGACCATATCCAAAGTGCTTGTACAAAAGGGGAAAACATGCCAGCTGCCTCAGAGAGAGGGCATGGGACTGTACGTCTGCCATCCTGTTTTAGCAGTGACTGGTTTTATTAAGTACTTAAGATAAAAATACCCACCCCTCCCCTCCTGACAGAGTGCCAGAATAAAAATCTGCTTTGAATCACTTCAGGCTGCTAAAGATTTTAAGTGCTGTCCAGGTGCAGACTGTAACTTTTAGATGAGTAACACATGATAGATGGTTGACTGCATGCATAGGTGAACCAGTTGCAGGGGGGCTGTTGTCAAACTGCGACAGATCAGGGATTATGCATTTGAACATGTCTGTTCTACCACCTTGTCCTCACCTGAAGTCTCCCCACTCTGGGGAATACGAAATGAAATAAAATGCAAATTAAGGTTCCCTGCAAAATAATGTAATATAAAATAACCTTAATCCCTCCCATTCTAGACAAGATCTGCTGTGAGGAGCTCCCCACAAGAGATTAGATTGTTTAAAGCAAAGGAAGTTCAGCTTCATGTTGCTATTGCAGAATGGCTCAGTGCAAGCCTTTTAGAGGTATTGATTCCCTTAAATCATTTAAGGAAAATTAGCTGCCATAAGAGCATAAAACCACATATTAAATATTGCTGTATAGGAGGATTTTTCTTCTGCTGCAGTATGGAAGATAAGCTGTTTCCTTTGAAAAAAATTTCATTCTGGAGCAGGGAGGATCACTGACACAGAAATAAGTGAAGTGGGTATGAGGTGCACACACAATGCTATAGCTACAGTGATTCCAGCACGGAGTGGTCCAAGAATAAGTGTTTACTGTAGCTAGTGTACAAAAATAAACCAAAGGCACCTGTGGTTCTCTGTTCTTCTGGGTTTTACAAAGTGTGCTTATTTTATCTTTAAAGTGTTTCAAATTCCATAATGACCATATCTTCTTTAGGAGGGAGTGGATGGGTCAAGAAATCAGAGAACGATAGGAAGCGTTTGATCTCCATGTCACTGATTTTGAAATAATCACTCCTGATCGTAAGTCACTGTCATTGTGTTGGCCTATGTGAAGTGAGGGGATATTCTCAGCTGTTTCTAGTGGTGTCAGTCTTGCAGATGAGACTGAAGTGACAGACTTGCTCTCCTAGATCATGTGTTTTTGGCTGAAGATATTTCTGTTCTTAGGTATCTTCCCACCTCTCCACCAGATGATACATGTAGATGGTTCCCCTGTCCATGCTGGAGCAGATTAGCGGCATTAGCTCAGAACATGAATGTATTGTTTAAACCAATGCAGCTGACTTTTGTCTGAAGCACATCAAAGGATGTTCATATGAGCTGTTCCAACAGCTGAACTGTGGGGCCAGGAAGTTCTGCTTGGGCATGATAAGCACTTCAGGTAGAGAGCTGGTTGGAGAACGAATGTCTAAGTAAGGAATCTAATAAAGCATATATAATATGCTAATAAAGCGCAGCTAGATTTAAACACGTGAACAGTCCGATTGAATTCAGCAGTGTTCTTTATGTGCTTACAGTTAAGCAGGTGTTTAAATGTTTTGGACTGGGGATCAAGTGCTCAGCACCAGCAAGCTGAGCATATGGATGGTCTACGGACACCAAACAGTCCTTATCTCTGGGATAACATGAAGCCTCAGAAACAGAGCAAGCAGTAGAACTGCTTGATTGTTGGACAGGTTTCATGTGGCCATCCAGCCTTTTCCTGACAAGCAAATGCTTTAAAGAGATTTAATGAGTGAACTTAGGTAGCGTGTTCAGTGTCAGCTCAGTCCCCTTGAGTATGTGCATTGTGATATGGTCTTTAATCATGTTATTCTCTCAGCTAGACCCCTGCCTCACTGAGTTCTCCAAATGGAAAACTTTCACATAATAAGCAGCTATTCAGCATTTTGTTTTAGCTTCAATGTTCATTGTGCAGCCCTGTCCTGTATTTACTGTGCGCTATTCAGATCCTGCTCTGAGGATGGAATTGTTAATCTCCTCGTGGGCTTTTTTGTTTTGCTCATTGCTATACTCTGGGAGAATTTCAGAAGCGTTAATTATTTTTTGGGGGACCCCTGTGAGAGACAAATATGTTATCCTTGTATGGATAGGAAACAGAGGCAGAGACAGTTACGATCAGAAGTACCTACTCATTTGAGATAAATAATTTAAGATGCTTGGGATCAGATTTGTTTCATGTCATTCACCAAGGCTTGATAAGTTCACCTTCCTTCTCCAAGGAAGATTGGGATAGACTATTTCTGTCATTTGGAGTTCTTAGGACCTAGAAGACAAGGAATAGGCAGTGACTGAGTGCTTAGGAAGAATCTGTTTCAAGTGATTTGCCCCCTTCAAATGAAAATGCAGAGATGGGATGCTCCCAGGCACTCCTATTGCAACACTGTATTTTGTCTTCTTGAAAGATCTTTCTTCTGTTCTGCCTGTTTTCCACCTCCTGTTGTCATTGAAGCTGGAGTCCTACATGCAAATGAATCCTATGTTAGACACTGTTCACCTTGTGCCATGAATGAGCTGAAGACCTAACCAAAAAGAAAAGAAAACAAAAAATCACCCACCTGGAGTACGCTCATTAATTATCATCTCCTTTGTCATGCACACATATACCAAAGTTTTAAATTATTTCTGCACAGGCAACTTTTCTGTTTCCATTCCTGACTTTGGAGTGCTTGATGTCGCAGCCTTTACATACTTTTAATACTATTCAGGGTGAAAGTTTTCATTGCTTCAAAGCAAAACATACAGCTGAAATGAAGCCCCAGCGTGCTGAAATCTGAGTCATCTGCTGGGCTGGAACCTTTAGATCCACCACACAGACATCTGCCACAAGAGCTGATGAATTAATTGATAGAGTATGGCAATCTGCTATTGCTGTGGACTGGCGTGAGGGAGAGAAAGAGATGCTTTGCCTGTGGGCTTTGTGGGTATCTGCTGACAACAGAATTAATAATAAGAAAAGATGAGTAAACATAATACT